AGAAGAACAGGATGGAACATGTGTTATGTGTCTCAACAATGTCCATGTCAACATGACCTTGCCTCGTGCAGCATTTACCCACATGGAAAAGAGAAGGAGAAAGAGAAGAGAGACAGAAGGAGGAGGAGAAGGAGAAGAAGAAGAGAGACAAGAGAAGGAGGAGGAGGAGAAGGAGAAGGAGAAGGAGAATAAAGACAGGAGGAGGAGGAGGAGGAGGAGGAGGAAAGAGATAAATTACATCCCTGAAATTGCTGTGATTATATGTAGTTCATGCATAATTTTCCCATCATCAAAGAAAATGCAGGTAACCTTCCAGGAAAACATATTCTGCTGTGACCACCTTAAATTTTCTTTCATTTGCTTGTTTTTCTGGCTTGGCAGTGGATGAGTTTTTTGTTTTTTAAAGTTTTTCTATAGCACTGAAATGTTGGCTGCAGCCCAAACGCCACTCTGGAATGAGGGGGATGTGGGGAAATGGAGGGGGAGGTCAAAGCTGACCCAGGGCAGAGGGCAGCGAAAACAAGAATGGGAAAAAAATGCAAACAGGGGAGTGGGAAGATGAGTGGGTGGGTGGGAAGAAGAATAAATGTTTTCTCTTTGGCAGAAAAGGCTATCTGATCTGGCCAAAAAAACCCCAATTTAAATCAAAACAATCTCTCTGCTAGGCAGAAACCCCACCGGATGCCCAGAGTATTAAATGCAATAATTTAAATGAAAAAGAATGCATTAGAGACAGGGAAGAGGAGCCAACATTTCTGTTGTTCTATTTACTATCTTCTCCCCCCCTTATTTCCTTCCTCCACGTTTTCTGCTTTTCTCTCCTGTGGGGTCACTTTCTCTGTGCATTTCCAGTGTGATATTAGGAAAGAAAAATGATTCCCTCGCGTGTTAAAACCCCCATCAATTTGGGCTGAGGCATGATACCCACCTTGTCATTTCTGCCCAGGCGGAGCAGGAGACGGGGTGGAGGTCCTGATCTGGAGCTGGAGGTGATGAGGGACTGGATGGGGTGAAACAGACAGAGATTGAATCCTGACAAGAGAAGTACCATTGGTACAGGACTCTCCCTCCTCTCACCCCCAACCCCACCCCCAGTTCCACAGATCCTTCATCTTTTGCTCTAGACAAGGTTGCACTTTCTCTGAAGGAATCTGGTTGTGCAGTCTGGAAGTTCTCCTGGACTCCTGACTCCTTCAGGTAGAAGCTATGGCTGGAAGAGAGATTGGCCAGCTTCAGTGGGTCCACCAGCTGCATCGTTTTCCTGGAAAAGGAGGTGCTGAAGACAGTGGTTCCTGTTCTTGAGGTCTCTCAGATAGACTTTGCGATCTAAGTCATTTCCTTTACATAGGACTGCCCTTGAAGATGGTTTGGAAACTTTCCTGGCACCAAAGGCTGCCTGGCACCAGTTGAGCAGAATAAAACCCATCTTGCTCAGTGCAGAATCCACGACAGCTTCTCTGCTAGTAAAAAGATGACCTGAATATTGAATTCCCTGGCAGGCTGTTCAGAGACAACGGGCAGGCCCCCAAAGTACCCCATGTGCCTCTGTGGTAGAATGAGTGTGCCACATAGGTCCATAGGAGCAACATGGGTCCATCAGACGTTGCCTTAGGCAGAGTTTAAGACCAGAATCTTGCAGAGCAAACTTAGGCACTTCCACATGCCAAGCAACCACTAACATCTGAACTTAAGATCTTCTACATGCCAAGCAACCACTAACATCTGAAGGGGATGGCCTCCTTGCCTCCCACACTCAGACCTCACTGATTCCGCCCTTGCTAATCCACCCTTTCATCTCCAGCCTCTACTAGAAAGTCCCCTCTCTATCTATGTAAGTTTGCGACTTCCATGAGAAGATCTGTCCGCTGTTGGAGAAGTTCTGGCTTCTTATGCATGAAAACCTTCCATAGACCCGTTGGAGTGAGAATTGGCAGCTGAGGAAATGACCTGGTTGGCCAGGGGCCACTGCAAGAGCAGGAAGCAGATCTCCTTTTCGGCATGAGCGTGACTGGCCGCTTGCCCCATCTTTTTGGAATTGCACTCTCTGCCTCCATAGAGAAATGGGTCCGGAGCAGGGTGGGGGATGGGATGGAAAGCTTAAGTGGTGACGCTTCCCCTCCAGAGTCCAGTTTTTTCCTGACTCAGGAAACCTGGAGGAACTGTTGACCCTTGGATAGGGGAGGAGTACAATTAAAGGGAAGGATTAATTAGGAGAGCTAAAGGACCAAGGGGAGCGAGGATGAAGAAGCACTGAGACAGGAGGAGCATGTTAGCTCATGGAACATGAAGCACATTGAGACTTGCAAGACTGATGTCAGCCCTCCAAAGTAGACCAAACTTGGAAACCAAAGCCACGCAAGCTAATACTACTTTTATTATAAGGCTATATGAACCGAATCTTGCAAGTCTGAATGTGCTTCCTCCCTCCTTCCCTCCCTTTATCTTCATGAGAACTAGGGAGGGTCTGTCTGAGATGCTTACGCAGGTTACAGTTCTGGCCCAGACTCAGATTTCTTTTATCCGACTGTTGTCTTAGTTTTGGCTCTTCTTCGTGTTCCTCAAGGTTATTCCTTCTGCCCATTACACCAACGAACAACTTTTATGCAGTTAAATAAAGAGACTATCAGGACCGGCCCTGCCTTAGTGCGTTGTGCAAACCCGGCCTGTTTGATTGGCCCTTGAGAATGGATGAAGTCAAGAAATCAGGTTAAAACTGTGAGTGAGTGCCACCATCACAGAATCAATGGTGGTGAGAGTGGAGCTATATCTGTGGTGATATCATCACACCTGTGATATACTCATGGCTTGTACCAGACCTCTATGAACCCAGCAACCAGATTAACCATGTTATGCAAGCTATACAGAGATTTTGATGACCCTGTTGGTCTTATGGAAGGCCATAAAGACCTGAGTTTTCCTGCAGATACAGTGGCCAGGATGTTAATGGTGCCCAACATGGGTGTGTGAGATCTGTGAATTAGATGTTTGTTATACTGCAATGCCTTGACATAGTTCTTTTTAACTGGTGTGTGTTTACTTCATAATCTTTGTATTGCTCCCCACCAGAGTTCTACTGGTAGATAGGCAACCATATAAATTTGCTGAGTAAATTATAAATACATATATGGATGGATGGATGGATGGATGGATGGATGGATGGATGGATGGATGGATATCACATCTAGTTTTAGCTTCAGGCACAAATTCTTTTGGAAGAGGGTATTTACTGTAAATCAGTGTTTCTCAACCTTGGGCCTAAGTCTTAAATGGCCCAAGGTTGAGAAACACTGATTTAGATGCTACGTGTGTCCCACCAGAGGAATTCTTGGCATTGAGGGTGAAATCAGTGGCCTTGTTCTTGCTAGCTACTCCATGTTGCAAGTTTCATCCATGCTGCTTAATGTATTCCCACACTCCTTCTGCTATTTGAGTCATATTGTATGGAGGCAGGTCTGCATGGTATGGTCAAAATGGCGGCCACACAGAGTGATCAAAGCTGTGTAGATAATGAACAATTAGAACTTCAGTTGCCCCCACATGGCTGCCATCTTGACTTTTTTGATCACACCTTGTGGACATGCTTGGTTTTGTATGAAGAATACCCAGAGGAACCAGAGGAAAATATAGCAAACCCCTGAGAGATCATCTCAGACTCAAAGTTAATGAGAACTTGGATGGTTGTTTAATTATACCCTTCAAAAGATCAATACACGTTTTAAAAAAGAACAAAAATCCATGAAAAGAAATTGCAACCAAAAGCCTCATTTGTCTCTTGGCTTCTTCGTAGACACTAACAATATGTATTAAAATGGTATGGAACATATTACAAATCTTCTCCATATCAAAGCTGGTGTTTCGTTTTGCCTAAAAATCACTATGATGGGCTAAAAAAACCCTTACTTGGTACCCTTTTTTTCTACTGGTGGCAATTCATTTTATATTAACATTTCACTCTCAAAAAAGAAAAGAAACCAGACATACACATGGACATTACAATAAAATTTAGATTAAAACAAAGAACAAAACCACACATTTGGTATCTTGATAACTTTAGTGCACATATGACACAATTCCTGTGTCAGACAACTAAAAATAAGTTTAAACGGCTGGCCTGCATTTAGATGCTCAAGGACTCTCAACTGATGCTAACATCAATTTTGCATTTCAGTTTACAACGGGTGTCTGTCTGAAGTCCATCCTGCTCTTTCAATGAAGACCTTCAGACAACCTTCTAAGTAGATAACATTTCACCTGAACACAAAGTCTGGACCTCATTGATCTAGGAAACATTGGCTGAGAAAGGCCATTTGCCTCATCAGGGGAGCAGTATCCTTTTCCTAAAATTCTGCCCAGCTGTGATAGACCCATCAAGAAGATGCCCTTATATCATATTTCCTACAGCCATTTGCTCACCAGCCATTTATAGCATCAACCGGTCATAGCAGATAGCGGCTGACCCCAGAAAAGCTAAGCAGAGTTGGACCGGGTTAATACTTGGATGGGAGACGCCCAGAATATTCCAGGGCAATAGATTATGGACATGGGATCTCAATTCTATCTCCATAGAAAGAACACAGATGTGTTCTAATAGTCACGAGCCCAACTTGAGAGTGACCTTGCCGTAGAAGGAAGTATTGACATCCAGCTGTTGCTGCAATGAAGATAGTCTTGCATAATATCTGCGCAATGAGTAGAGATGTTGTAAAACACTGTAAATCACTGTGAGGAAATGGCCTGTATTCACAATAATCTAACTCGGTGTTTCTCAACCTTGGCGACTTGAAGATGTGTGGACTTCAACTTCCAGAATTTGCTGGCTGGGGAATTCTGGGAG